AACCGCGAGAGGAAAAGAATCTATATGAATATAGATAAAACGTTTATGTCTGTACAGGTTTGATTCTAAACTGCTAGTTTGGAAAGTATGTTATTGTATGAGATTTGTACACTCACTAGACCATTTGGGTCTAATTATCAGTTGTTGGATTAACCTGTTTTGCAGGTAATCGAACCTAGCAGGATAAGGGCAAGGGGAAAGTTTAGAAATGATAAAATTTAGTTGTTCCCAAATGTTTTGAAGAAAGTTTTTGTAAATTCATGTTTTGTAACAATACTATATTTTGTTTTATGAGTATATGTATGTGGATTATCTGTACCTGGAGTTTGTGAGTTGTTACAATAAGCTCACAAAACCGTCAAAAGTAACAACTAAATGCATTCCTTTCCTTGGTTCCGTTAATACCATTATAGAAGCACCTTCTATACCAAGAGGATCTTCCCGAATCAACTAGCCATGCAGTTAACATTTAAATCCTTGCCACCTAGGGCCTCTCACTAATTAAAAAGAATCAAATGGAAAACAAGAAAAAGGAATCACCCCATTAGAACAGGATCAGAGCTGAAAACAATCAACAAAACAGTAGTCCATTGCAGAGTACCAATTCTAAGGACAACATCATAAAAGCCTCTACCATTTAGAAGGTCCAGCCTAAAACTTCTATACCAAATCTGAATTATACTAGACTTAAATCTTTAAAAAGAATGCAGGATCCTTTACCAGAAAGCAGAAATGGAGTACTAATATTAAATATTGACACACAAAAAGAGACAATCCATCAGTAAAATCAAACGTTCGTCGCAAAACTTTCGAAATCAAAATAAACCTGTTTGACGGCATTGGGGAAAGGGTGACTGGTATTTTGATTGAGGCATTCAACTCCTGTCCAGTCTATGAAATCGAGTAAATCCACCTACTCAAACATCAAAAATATCATAAAATTTAAATATGCATTTGATAAAACAAACAATCAAGAATCAGAGAGAACGAATTTCTGAAGAAAAACAAAAGGGATTACTACCTGATTCCTCACAATTGCGGAAGTAGATTCAGTAGACATCGTCACGGAGGATGAGAGACTGATCGAAAGAACCGCGTAGACTTGTAGAACACGAACATTTATTTTACACGCAGGCGCCGACCCAAGTGGCCAATATGAGGAATGGGCCAGCCCACTATTCAATTCTACCTCTAGCCCGATCCAACAAATCATGAAACCAAATAGGTGGTTATCTATCAATGTTTGAAAAAGTTTGTCGCAGCAACTGTTGTGCAAGTTTTGTGTCTGACGTCACGTCATACCTGAGGCATATTACTGCATAATGCATGGTTTTTGTTATACGATATTGATTTTACTTTCTTTTTACTGTTTTTTATTTGTTAGTTTTTAATATATACCTTAATTTAAATTGCTTAGGGGCTGTTTGTTTGGCTCTTAATTGTTACATTAACCTCTTAACCATTTTGCATCCAGAGCTTCACTCTCAAATTGTTCTTCACATCGCATCCCCCCTCCATGGTTCCATTCGCCGTCTTCCCCCCCTCCATCGTCGGTTCCATTCGCCGTCTTTCCCCCTCCCATCGTGTCACACCCCGCTAAAACGGAAACACGAGGAGTGATAGTACAAGATTTCATAGTGATAAGGCGAAAACAACACCAATTGTCCATTCAAATACATAACATATAAAGTTTGAAATTACATCATACAAGTTCAAAGTTTTAACAACATGGTGTAAGCAAAGTTTTCAACAAAAAGATTTCAAATAAAAAAAATGGTTGATGTCGTTGCGCCCCGAACATAAACGATATCAGTTAACCTTTCTTACCCCTGAAAAGCATAATAAAACAAGGTCAACTACGAAAAGCTGGTGAGTTCACAGGTTTTCAATATCACAAACCTCCTTTTTGCATAAGCGAATATGAGCAAGTTAAATTTTTAATGGCACTTGATTTACTTTGAAAGAAAATCTTGGATTGTTCAAGGCAATTTGTACTCTAATTTTAAGTATATAAAGAGCCACCACTAAACCTTTCGACCCCATAAAACTGTTTTTAGTTCTACCTTAGCGGTGGGACTAAAACCCCACATATGTAGAACCTTCATTTTTTTAAGTATAGTGCACCCTTACCTGTAGTTTCTAGGTGGGATTGCTATCCACATCCCTACTTATAGGTTTTTAGGTGAGATTGTCCGTCCAAATAGCGCTATCCACAAATACCCTCGGCTCCTCACTTGAGTTAATAGTAGTGTACAAACTTTTGTGTTACATTTTACTCAATATAACTATTAGTGTACATGCCTTAGTGCCCTCAACATCAAATTAACAAAATTTCATATTCACAATGAAAATAGCTCATATAACACATTCAATCATGCTTTTCACCCCAAAATGTAATAAATACTTTGAAAGAGGGGCTGTGAATACTCACTCTTTTGCAAAGCTTCGCTAATCAAAAACACGATCCGGTCCCCACACGTTGGCTTAACGTTTCCCTATCAAAGAGGAATATCCAAAACCGTCACTTATGGGTTTAAAACTACTTATGGGGATTAATAAGTCCTAAGTCCATAATTGTCTACATATGTCCAACTTGAATATCTATAGTCCAAATATACATAATGCACATATACTCGTTAATATACTAATTTATACCGGGAGTAATGTTATAATCCAATAAATGATCAAAATTTATAAAATCAAATAAATTCCAAAAATTCACTTTTGGACAGAAACTAATAGTACTAAAAATGATCAATTTATAGAGACTTCTAAAATGACAAAGTTTCCTATCTTTTTATATGGGATATAGAACTGAGTTTATGGTCATTGTGACCAAATTTCATGCATTTTGGACATGTAAAAATGGTTCAAATAATTTATGCAATACAATATGTCACAATTGGTATGACAGATTACACCATGTTAGTGAAATACTCATTTGAAGAGTTCTACTAAGTGTTTTGCAGAAATTCAAGTTGGATTATAAACTCAACACCTACATGAAACTTTTAAAATAAGAATCACTCAATTTGGATGAGTTAAGAGGAAGATATGGCACCATAAAGTTACATGCACTCATCTGTCATTAGTTGACAGATTGCACACTTAACTTTAATAAATTGGTTAATGCCTCAAAACTTCATATTTTTGAGTGAAACTGGGTTCATATGAACCCTAACTCATAAAAGAATATTTCAGAAGAAGAATTATATAGTAAGAGCAAGTAATAAAGGATATATTAACACACAAAGTAGGAGTTACCTACTAATGGTTTCATAGTTCGCACACCTAAAGTGTTTTAGGTGTTTGGAGATCAAAACTCCATATTTTCATGTGATTCCACTTGCATGCAGAAGATAACTCATATAGTTAACTCTGAAAGGAAGAATCATCCTTTTTCATCGAGTTTTGAAATAGATACGGTCATTAGAACATGCATATACAAATCTGTCAGTTTCGGACAGATTGCATACTCATTTTGTTTTGAGTAGTTAAAACCTCAAATCACCATATTTTTGAATGAAATCAGTGGCATTTGAAATGTAACTCATTAAATTAACTTCCAGAAGAAAAATCAATGATTTTGGATGATTATTTAGAGAGTTATGGTTGTATAAAGTAGGGTTTACCTACTAAAAAACTCCCAGATGCACATGCATCTTGTTTTGAGTATTTGGGGAGTCAAAACTCAAATTAAACTTAAATTAAATTATAATAAAAAAATAAATTAAAGAAATTACATAAAAAATGAAAACTTTTAAATAGTTGATTTTACATTAACATTGATATATATTTTTTAAATTTTTTATGATATCTTCAAATTTATATTTTATTAAAAAATAAAATCATTATTGCTTTTTTTAAAAACACATAATCTATACTATCTGTACCATATTATAAAACAGTTGACAAAAACTCTTAAAAACAATTTTTTATGCACGAAGTGTTGTTTATTGATGCATATTATTTAAAATTTAAGATTACAAGTAAAATATGCATAAGTGCAACTTATTAAAGCTCCATACTCTAATTCGTCTAACTAACTGCTGATAAACATAATCAAATATTGAATAAATATCTCATTTTAAATATAAAAAATCTAAAATATAATTATGATAATCATTGATAACTAA